AAAATCAAGTATTAATGCATGTGTGTTTTCTGTTTTTGGAATGTATCTAAAAATGTAATCCAGAAAAGATCCTGTATTTTCTGTTGTAAGTAAAAGGTATTGTTTAACTGTATATTTCCCCAGAGAATCCTATACTTTCTGTTTACAAAAGTGTCGTGGTCTCAAAACCCTAAGACCGATTATTAGTGTATGTATGTTTTCGTATCGACAAGATTTTATGTATTCCGTAAAATTATGATGGAGAGAGAATCTCTATGTGAGCCGTTTTAGCCATACTTGATTATGACGAATTCGCATGTCGTGGCGCTATCAGGCGCCGACTTGTTTAAGGTAAGGTTTGTCACCCTAGACTGGCCTAGTCTAACTGTAGCGAACAACTCAGGTGTGGGGTGTCACCCCGTATAGTTCTATACACAAACTCCCGCTCTCCCTCCAGGAGACTCTGGTTATAACTACAGGCTACGATTGTACACTCTAGAGATGTCAACCGACATGTCTCACTAGGTCCTTAACTGAGTTTACGCGAATATTGTATCATGTTATGTATAATGTTTTCCGTGTACGTTTTATGTTTAAAAAGTCCAACGAGTATATATGTGAATGTACGAGGCCCAACAGACATGTAGAAGAACCACTAAGGCCCAATAAACATGTAATGTATAGTCCATGCCCAATAAGCATGTAAATGGACCACTAAGGCCCAATAAACATTTAATGTATAGTCCAGGCCCAATAAGCATGTAAATGGACCACTAAGGCCCAATAAACATGTAATGTATAATCCAGGCCTAATAAGCATGTAAATGGACCACTAAGGCCCAATAACATGAAATGTAAATATTAGGCCCAATAAACATGTAATCGATGTATTTAGTTCGTTTGTTATTACATTGTTTGTTTTAGCTCGATTGTTTTCTAAAATGAAATAAAAGGCCCACTTTTTGTAATGATGACATTTTTGGCCCATCAAGCCGAAAATTTACAATTTAGGCATATTTTTGATAAAATTGACACTTTAGGTCTCTTAAGACCTAAAGTTTACATTTATGGGCTTATTTCAAATAAAATGACATTTTTAGCCCACTATTGTTAAAAATAGCATTTTTCGACCCAATATCATGAAAATTGACATTTTCGGCCCAACTTGATAAAAATTGACATTTTCGGCCCAATTATGTAAAAATGACAATTTCGGCCCAATTTAATAAAATTGACAATTTTAGCCCTTTTTAACCGAAAAACAACATTTTTGGCTCAAGTTTGTTTAAAATGACAATTTAGTCCACAAAAGTCATAAATTTTCCAATTTTTGGCCCATAAAACCGTGAAGGCCCAATTTAAGCCCATTTTGTGAAAAATTTACTCTTTTGGCCCTTTTTAAAACCATAATATCATAAAGACCCATTTTTATACAAAAATGACTCTTTGGTCCTTGAAAAATCATAAGTATAATAAAAGCTTCATCCCTTTTTGTTTATTTGTCAAAAATGGTCCCTTTACAAGATTTTGTTTAGTTTTTCAACATCCTTAACATGTTTAACACCTTCATCCTTATGGTAAGTTGTATAAAGTGTTTTAGTTTACAAATATTGTCAAGACTTGATAGAGTTTTCGAGATCTATGAAGTTTCCTCACATAATCACAACATATAACTTAGAAAACACACATAAACATGCACAAATACATAGATCTATCACATAAGCAACTTGTATCCTCCCCCAAAACATAGTAAAACCGAAAAAACAAGGGGTATGGACTCACATTGCTTTGATGTTTTTGGTTTTTGGTGATGAAATGAGTAGATCTTGGCCCTGGCAAGCTTCTTGAGAAGGATTTTTGAACTTAGATGGTTCTAAGAAGCATGATTCACGAAAACATGGGTGTAAGAGGAGTGAATGAGTTTAAAGATGAAGTATAACACCTGGGTTTGTAAGATCTTACCACAATGTGACGCTTGAATTGATTCTCTTGAAGATCTTCCTTACCCACGATTTTCTTGAGAGAAGGGTGGAAGAGAGTTGAGAGAATAAGGGTTGAGGTTGAAATGAGAGAGAGGTTGGAGAGTGAGAGAGTGGCCGAGAGATAGAGTGAGAGATAAGAGAGAAGTGGGAAGTTGACTTTGGTGGAGAGTGAGTTGATGTTTGCCTTGATACATGCAAACCTTGCATGGATATCCAACAAGTAATGGTGAGGTGTCACTCCATTTCCCTCCCATTTGCTTTTTTTTTGTTTGGGCCGAGAGAGGGGAAAGAGGGAAGAAAATGAGGGAATTTGGGCCCTTTCTTGGCTTAGTTTGAAATTATGAGGCCCAAAGTAATTATTTTTCGGCCTATTGGGCCTTTATAGAGGTTCACAGCCCAATGAAACCCAAGGAAGTAGTTTACGGCCCATTAGGGCTAATGAAATCATTTATGGCCCAACATGGCCCATTAGGGATAAAATGAACTATTCTAGGCCCACATGACCCAACATGTTTTAGTTTCATGAATGTGGGTTCAATTAGAGCCCAATTAGGGTTCCTTAGCCCAAAATAGTCAAATTGAAAGTTTATTGGTCCACTAGGCCCAATAAGAGGATCCTAGTCCATATTAACTTGAACCGGGATTTCTAGGGTTTTCAACCCATAGTTGACTATATGAAATGTATTGTATTAGGTTATGGGCTTCTTAAGTGAGGTTCGATTCAAATTGATGATTTTGATTAAGCATAGAGTATGATTTTCACTTAGAGTACATGCCTTACAATAAATGATGTTTACATGAGAATAGAATTTCTTAGCTAAAATTGCTAGTTGTGACACACTTGGTTCCTTGATATGCCAAGGTATCGCTTGATGAGCCGTATGCTATGAAGTCCCCTATGATGCTCAATATTGTTCAAGGAAGCTTAGGAGTTGAAAATGCTCAAGGATTATTGTTTGATGCACCATGATGGTTGATATGCCATGGTGATCCTCATATGCTACTCTTGCATCATGATATGCTACTATGGATCATGATGCTCCATCATGTGTGTTGCTGATACTCATGAAAGGATGAGTGTTCCTGAAGATGCTGCATGACGGATTATGATTGGTTGACACTTTTCATGGGCCATTGAGCTTGACTCATTAGGGTTTTAGGTCTGGTTCCTTAAGTATAAATAGGGATGCATGCTAAGTCATTTTGTATCTTGAATTCTAGAGAGTTAGGCGAATCTCTGGTGAATTGTATTTGTAACCTCTGTTTGAGAACTCTGAAATAAATAATACTCCCCTACTGCCCGTAGACGTAGGTCGCCTTGACCGAACCACGTAAATACTGTGTCTTTGTGTGCTTATAGTTTTATTTGTTATCCACATTACTTCCTAACAAGGATCATTAGAACTTGGCAAGTGACATCAGGTTTGTTATGAGTCTTGATAAGTATCGCCTGTTTTCCCTAACAATTTGTATTAGGCTCGAAGAAACTGTAATTTCTTATGTATAAAAAGTTTTTTCTCTCTTTGTTAATTTTTCCTTTTAATTTAAAAAAAACAATGATTCTCTCCATTAGTTGGAAACAAAAGATTACTACTACAACAACCTTGTTTATTAAGTATGAAAATCTTTATATATTTCTCTCTAAAATAATATATAAAATTAATGCCATAAATGGTTTTGAAACCCATCTCCATATATATGGAGAGCAAACATCATCGTCGTCAAAACAACTAAAGTCTTTTATGAAAACTTTCTTATTTTTAGTTTGAAAGATATTGAAAAAGGAGCAAAATAAATTCAAACAAGGTCCCCTTAACTGAGAGTAAACTCCATTGCTAACTTTTCAACAACTGTTTTGTTCATTGTTTCAAATAAATGTTTTTATATCTAATGACTAATAGTATATGACATATTTGAGTTTTGGGGGCCCAAGTCGTTGCGAGCCTCGGTCGACAGCTTGTCCTACCCATTGGCATAGCCCTTCGAACCATGTCATATTTTATTACATTTAAGCTTGAATGCCAAACAAATCGATAACAAAAGCTTATAAGTTATTATTAATATATAAAAATAAAACATAATTGTTATAAGTTACATTTAACATATGTGTGTTGTGTTAATGACTTAATTCATCTCTTGCGCTTCTTAATCTTAGGTATATATGTGTGTGTTGTGCTTCTTAATTGTTGAAGCTTGTACTATAGCCCGTTCAATCTTTGTTTATATTTGTAATCCTATAAGTCTGACTTTTGTTTCTTTTTTGACGATTTGATGTATTTACTAGTATTTGCTCCAATGGTGTCTGTTCTGTGACTTATTGCTATGTTTGCTTAGACTGTTAAATATACGTACAACGTGCACATGTTTACCCATATCCCTCCTTATTCTTAATTTTATCATTTATACCCTCTTTTTTTCTTTTAGTCAATTATTTAATTTCTATAATTATCCTATTACGATGAAGAGGAGTATCGTCTTTTTCTATTTCTTACCTCCCCCTTATGGAACTTGGAGTTTTGTTGTTGTTTCTTTCATAAAACCTTGATGCCTTTACAGGTGAATATCATGTACTAACATATCGATTCATGTATATAACATATAAATCTTATGACAAAATCACAACCAAATTTCATTGTTTAACCTATAATACAATCTCACACCGGCTAAAAGGAAAGAAATATATTAACATGTACAAATATTAGTTACCTAGTAGCTCAGGGCAACTGATCCTGCTGTGGTGGCAGTGGCCCTACTTTCTCCGGTTGTTGTGGTTGCTCAGGTGGTGGTGGTTGTTCCTCCGGCTGCCATGTCCAAACTATATCTTCTAGCCCAGGTCTTAAACCCTCATTTACCACCTTGTGATATTCCAGTGTATCTCCATTACATTTCTTCACCTCAACCATATGAAAAGAGTGAGTGAGCTCGAATATCTCAGCATCAATTGACAAAATTCCTTTTCTACCCTCCGTCATCGCCTCCAGCTTCAACAACCCTGCTTCTCTTTTACTAATCTTCATCTTCAAAAGTTTAGCAATTTCTTCAAGTTTTAGATATAATAACAGACGCAGGTCGCCATGAAGTGAATCTTGCTTCTTTCTTTTGTCGAGGCTCTTCAAACAATGCTGTCAAGTCAAACCCAGGAGAGAGGGCAATTATGTCAAATGCATTCAAATTCTGAAGCCTCATCACTTCCTGTTTCTCTTCAGAGGAACCTGAAGCAGAAGCACCATCTGAACTTGTAGAAAGAACCAACTCCTTATTTGGTTTTCGGACAATATTGCCCTTTTTACACCATGGGTTTTCCTTAACTTTGGCAATTGTGATTCTATAACTGGGATTTGGTTCCAACATTCTTGTCAGTAACCTTCTTACATCTGGTGGAAACCAATTTGGACATTTGAACTCTGCTTTTTCCTATCTTTCTATACATTTCCATTAAATTTGAATCATGAAAAGGAAGATAACCGGTTAAAAGAACATACAAGATCACCCCACATGACCAGACATCAACTTTATCCCCATCATACCCTTTCCTATTAATCACTTCAGGTGCCACATAAGCAGGAGTCCCACAAGTGGTGTGAAGTAGCCCATCTTGACGCTTCGATTCAGCAAGAGCACTTAACCCAAAATCAGAAACTTTCAAATTGTCATTTTCATCTAAAAGTAAGTTTTCAGGTTTAAGGTCTCGATGATAGACTCCTCTACTATGACAAAAATCAACGGCTGTGATCAATTGCTGGAAATATCTACGGGCGATATGTTCCTTTAATCTCCCTTTTGATACTTTGTCAAAAAGCTCACCCCCTTTGGCATATTCTAAGGCGAAATATATTTTTGGTTTTGGTTGCCATGACTTCATAAAGCTCTAGAATGTTAGGGTGTCTCACTAGTCTCATGATAGATATCTCTCTCTTGATTTGGTTAATAAGCCCAACTCTTAAAACCTTCTCCTTGTCTATTACTTTAATTGCTACACTTTGGCCTGTTTTCATATTCCTGCCATAATAAACCTTTGCAAAGGTTCCTTGGCCAAGTAATCTCCCTAACTCATATTTTTCCATCAAAACACTCCCTTTAATATCCATAAGATTCACATAAACTGAAAGAAACTACCCTAACTTCACACAGATCACACTCACCAAAGAAGCACTATGTAACCTCAGGTTGTGCCACGTGGATATAGTAAGGTGGACATGATGTAGCCAGTCTCATCAAGAAGGAAGATGGTGAGTTGTAGAGAGGCAGAATCACAGTGGACTTCAGAAGAAGGCTTCTGAACCTTCATACACATCTTGCAGCATACCCTGGCCTCTCTTTGGAAGATTCAACAAAATCGTGCTCAAGTGTAAACACGCTTGCAGATGAACTCAGGAACAAGTAGAGGTAAATGATGAAGAAGAACAATCCAAGCCTGAACATCAAAATTTAGAATTGGGCATGTTTAGGCTTCTAAAACAAGAAATATCATCTCAAAACTAGTTGAAGATTTGATAAAACCTTCAAAGGATACACAGAAATGCAAACCAAATTTGCAGTACATGTAATTAGTAGATTCTGCAAACCGTTAATACAGTTGCAAACTAAATATCAATATTGTAAACGTACAAGAGACTTTTAGAGATAAACAAGAATTATCTTCTATGATCGGATTACATAAAACAACCTAATCACAACAATTTTGTTACTATTTCTTCTGAAAAGAAACAAAATGTGTTTAGTGGCAGTAGAAGCTAAACCTAAAACACAATTAAACAGTTTATACTTATAGGGTTACAAAAACGAAGTCTTTGGATGAAGCGGTTCTTTATTGCTCAATTATATGACCACTGACCGTTTTTATAACTTTAGCTTTCCGATTTGCATCCAAAAGTCGAGAGAAAAAACGTTTGAAAAATGAAAACAACAAAACGATCACAGAATTGCGGATTCGACAAGGTAAATCAAGAGATTTCATGATAACTAAAACGATCGCAAGTAACTTTAGATATTTGAAGCTACTTGTAGAAATCAATTGACCTGATCTACTAGTGGAGCTCGAACAGCAGCAAAAGGAGAGAAACGGTCGATTTGAACGGAGTCTTCCTTTTTGTTATATCGAAGAATATGCGAGAGAGACTTATACGAGTCAAGATCGAATTCAAATGGCTTCCGGCGATTGTAAATTTGTAACGTGTAAAATAAGCGTAGGAAATGTTCACCTGCGTGCGAACTTACGGTACGTATGATGAGAGTTTATACTTTATCTTTGGCTCGTCACTCGTCGGGTCCCGACTCTTCTATCTTTTAACGACAATTACCTAAGATAATTTTTATTTATAAAAAATATATATTTTAAAATGCAGGTTTAAAAACTTTCATTATTATTAGGCTTCACAATCGGTTTAGGTTCGGAGCGGTGGGTTACGGGTTAGAAAAATAAACTCAACCTAATCCATATAATATATGGGTTGGCGGGTCACGAGTTAGTGAGTTGAAATTTCAACTCAATACAACTCATATAACCCGTTTAAATATATGAGTTCGTGGGTTCACATGTTAGTGGGTCGAACCCAACCCACATAACCCCTTTAAATAAATAAGCAACACATTTTAAAAAAATAAGGTTTTTTCAACATAAAGTCATCAAGTGATTAAAGTCATTAACATCAAAAAAAGATGTTTTCAACATAAAGTCATAAAGTCATTAACATCTAAATAAAATTGAAAAATGAAAACATTCATACAAAGTGCAATTATTCAAAAATATCCAAAAACCAATTCGATTTCATTAATGCTAGAATTCGCATTTCTTCATCCAACACTGACTTCTTCATATTGACTTTCAAATAGAAACAATACACAAAATTAAATTTATGATATTTTGAAAGCTACATAAATAATTTTATGTCTTCTACTATTTGTACTAAAAAAACCCACCAAATGACAATTTAAAGTATGTTGAAATTTGTAGCCTCCGTATTGTCTTTGTTGATGTTCAAATTCATTACATTTTGAGTTAGACTGTTAACAACCACATTCAAATCAAATGCATAAGGAATAGAAAAAAAAAATTAATACAATATTTTAGTTAAATAATACAATTATACGAAATATTACGAATACGGAAGTAATCAGATTTCATTAATAATTAAATATATCTATTTTTAAATGTAATATATATATATATATATATATATATATATATATATATATAATTATATATATATATGTTCAAATGTTTCCAACAAGTATTGTGTGTCTCCAACAACCAATCAGAATTAAGAAAAAATAAATTCAATAATAAATCATAAAATGGTACAATAGTAATCTTAATTATGATAAATATGGTAAATAATTAAAATCATTAATACCCTTTAAATATGGAAATTCTGTTAATAAACACTACAAAATCACAAAACAGATCCCTTTATTCGACATCCTCCTCTTCTAACCCTAGCCCAAAGTCGACTCTCCCTGTTTCTCTTAAAATCATCGTGCACCACCACCATCATTTTGTTCTCTGTTCACAGGCCCCGAAAACCTTTCTCCTCTTCTTATTTCGACACCACTAGAACAGTAGCACCACCCCACACCACCGTCGAACCACCAGCTTTATGAATCAGAGAACCATTAGCTGCGAAATTTCTAGGGTTTTTCTACTTATTGGTGCCGAGAAGATGATAACTTTTGTGAGTTTTTTCATTGTTTAAAATTTCGCCAACTTCATCTGTGTCTATGTGCAATTCGTTGGATGAAATTAATCCAACTTCATTTGTTTCTTACTTTTGTGAGTTTTTTCATTGTTTAAAATTTCGCCAACTTCATCTGTATATATTTCACAATTCGTTGGATGAAATTGGATTAAATAGTTTGTCTAATAATCAGTGAGTTATATTTGGATTAAATTGTTGTGTTTGTTCCTTTTTCTTCTATTATGTTACTCTTATGCACATAATTTAGTGTATCACAATCTCGTTCCTGATTGTTTAATTCATATGGACATTATAAATTTTGTTAATGTAAACACCTTCAACAGTTTCATTTACAAACAATTTGGTTTATTCTGATAAAATTTTAGCATTTATATGTTGATAAATGCATTCTAATAGAATTTTATTGTTGCATTATAATAGAATTTTACTGTTGCATTGTAATATAATTTTATTGTTGCATTATAATAGAATTTTAGTTGATAAGTGTGCATTCTAATAGAATTTTACTGTTGCATTCTAATAGATATTGTAACATCCCAAAAATACAACCCAAAAATTTCGTTTTTAAAACATTAATAAAACCATCATTTCATTACCAAAGTATAAAAATCATAACAGTGTGTTTAAAAATCCCATAAGATCTATCACATGTCAAATATCATATCAAAATATCAGAGTAAAACTCCCAGGCTGAAGACTGTGGTGTGTGCCATGCGATCATCCCGAGCCCTTCCCTTTGCTAGTGGAAGTACCTGAAACCAAAACTGAAAACTGTAAGCACAAAGCTTAGTGAGCTCCCCCAAACTACCACATATCATTCAATAACACATAAAGCACATACTGGGCCTTGCCCACTGCATCGGACCGAAGTACGGAATAACTTGGGCCTTGCCCACTGCATCAGACCGAAGTCCAGAATAACTTGGGCCTTGCCCAATGCATCGGACCGAAGTCCGGAATAACTTGGGTCTTGCCCATTGCATCGGACCGAAGTCCGAAACAACTGAACATAACATATACGCAAACATGTAACATAAACATATAGCTACTGCATCGGGCTTGCCCGACATCAGACCGAAGCCCGGAACACAAAGCACATGACATAACATGCATGAATCACAAAGACATCAGACATACATACTACTTCTATGGATCACCCCGACATCGGACCGAAGTCCGGAACTACTATCATCTAAACGGGCCGGCATTGTGGCCGTAGACCCGTTCCTACTGGAAGGAAACTCACCTCGCGTAACTGGCTGCTAAAACACAGAGCGGAGAATATCTGGCTGCTGCTCCGGCGACTCTCCGGCTATAAATTCCACAAAGACACTTAGTCAGAAACTAATAGCTATCCTTAGGGTGAAATGATCCCTTTTTCCCCTGACCAAGGTCCATGTCATGGTCAAAGTCAACTTCCCAGTTGACCGGACTCGTCGAGTTGGCTCGACAACTCGCCGAGTCCCAATCTTCTCATCTACCCCCAACCCGACTCTACTCGTCGAGTTTACCAAGAACTCGACGAGTTCTCCTTCAATCATAACATCGAGACAATCTTCATCTGACTCGCCGAGTTCTCCCTGAACTCGTCGAGTTTATCTTCATCTTAATAACGTGTCTAGTCTGTGACTCGCCGAGTCGTATGAACAACTAGTCAAGTCCGTCTTCATGAGTTGGGAGATGGCCTTGGACTCGCCGAGTACGTTCCTGCACTCGCCGAGTCCCATGGTTTCCAGATCCAAGGCTATGTCTATTTCACTGAGTCCTTTCCACGGACTCATCCAAAACCCTTTTGAACTAAAATGGGTTCCTCTGAGTCATAACAGTTTTGGGAACCACTCACGACTCGCCGAGTCCATGCATGTCCAAGTCTAGTAATTCGATTTCTGATGTGCAAAACTCATCCAGAATGTAGATCTAGGCTCATAAGATCGGTATAACACGTAAAGCCACGAACTTTACGTTCATGCATGGGACTTTTATGCTCAAAGGACCAAAAATGGGGTTTATTTCATTCTTGGGGTTCTCATGGCCATAAAGATGTCACCTCATGCCATGAGGACCCTCCAAGGTTCCAGATCTGAGTGTAAATCGACTTGGGACGTCCAAGTCCCAAGGATCAAGCTTCTTGGACCCAAAACTTCATAAAAATGACCACAAGGAGATC